TTAGGGCTGGGGTTTTAGGGTTTAGGTCCTACGATGTTTTTGTTTGGGCTTGGGGCCCAAGCTAAATGCGAGACCTTCCTGCAGAGTTGGCAACATGGGTACGCCGCTGGAGACATGCCTGCTTCAGTGCGTATTCATGTATTCCCGGAATTTCAAGACTGAAGTGGCGCTCTTCTGAAGTTGGTTGCCGTGTCTGTACCGTGGGCAAGAACGGCAAACGAAACTTCTTTTGTTCTCGGGGTTACTGTAAGGATTCTGAATCGCAGGGCTGGTTGAGCACTGGCAAAGAGTTTGAACTTGTGAGAATTCGAAGAGAGAGAGAGAGAGAGAGTTTCGAAGTCGGCGTTTCCTTTGAGGTCCAGCAATTGGATGTTGTCAGAATGTCTTTGCACCAAGCCCTGCCAGGTCGTGAAGTGTTTGGGCTTTCGGCTGATACAGGAGGTCCCGCCGCTGAGCTTCCTGACCAGGATGAGCGAGATGCTCACGGACTTCATCGAGGTGGGATTTTCTCATGCATGATGTATTTTTCCAGGAGTCCGAATCTCCCATGATCTCCTTCTCAAGAGGGGGTTTTCCGGTCTTGCCGGCACCTTGTGCAGGTCTTCGCGCAGGTCGCTGCGGTGGTGGTCAGGCAGGATTTTGTGGAGAGAGTTTGTTCTAGACAGGCGCCTCTGTCACTCGCTTTCATGCAAGTGCCACCTAAACCCTAAACCCTAAACCCTAAACCCTAAACCCTAAACCCGAAACCCTAAACCCTAAACCCTAAACCCTAAACTCTAAACCCTAAACCCTAAACCCACGGTCAGGCAAGTGCTGGATGACGGCTCCTCCCTGGTTCAGCAGGCCGCCCAGTCCAAGTTCCCAGGGGTCGGCGAAGCCCCGGTGCTGCACCACGCAGGGAAAAGCCTCACCATCAAGACGCACTCTCAGCATCCCAAGGGCCGGAAAAGGGATCCCAGATCAAAGCTTCCGCGGGAGGAGAAGCTTCGTCATCGTTGGGTAACGTTTTGTCTCTTAGACTTTGTATGGGTATTCAAAATGAACAAGGAACAGAAGTTGAGCTTTTCAATAGTATCCCAGCCATGGACTAGGAAGATGTCGGCGGTGCAGGAGGGCGCCAAGGAGAAGGTGCGTGGTGACGACGACCCAGAACCCCAAGGCAGCATTGCCCTGGGAGTCTCGGACCAGGAGGGGAACTATGCCACGCGGCTCATCACCCAGTGGAATGGCAGGGAGACGGACACCAGCTCTTGCTTGGCCTTCGCACCGAAGCACAGGGAAGGCAGCAACGATCAGGCCCTGAAGTCAGACTGGCAAGGGAACAGCGATGACGCTTTCATCCCCTTGGAGCCCTTTGGCGTACCCTGCGACAATGACTGGATGAAGGATAATTGGGACAAGTGGCAGGGCTACTCCTTCTACGTCTGGGAGATGGCCATCGAGAAGTGCGTGACGGTGACCTACAGTCTTGGCATGCAGCCTGCGCTCGCCTTTGTGGGTGGCTTGAGCTTCGAGCTGATGCCGGCGCCGCTGGCCGAGATGGACACGACAGTCTGCTGGCCGGACAAGCAGCCCGGGGGGGTGGATTTGAGCGTTCTGCGCTCCGAGATCCGCTCCGGGGGCATCATGCTCTTCAGCCGAACTTTGCGCCTGCAGAAGCGGTTTGGGAGTGGCACGGACTTCGTGGACAGCAACATCTTCGGGGCCCACGAGACCTGGCGGAACCCACTTGGCACGGCCGTGGGCAGCCACGGTGTCGAAGACGATCGCACCGTGGAAACCATGTCAAGGTCGTCCCTCCTTGCAACGAACCAGACCTCCCAAAGCCATCAGAGCCCAAAAAAGAAGCAGCCGGAGCAGCGACAGGCTTCGGTGGGAGAGGCAGAGCTGCACTGGGAAACCGATCTCGAGGAGCTGTACCTGGCTGCTGGCCACTATGGGAAGGACCTGGGAATCAACAAGACATCCGAGCTGCGTGGAGAAGAGGTCCTGAAGCGCATGAAGGAGCTCCATGCTAAGAAGGGCATGAGTACTCTCCAGGCAGACGCAGAGTCCGGCACGGACTACCACCAGCTTTTCAGCTTCAAGAATCCCGGTCCGGTCTCTTTCGAAATCCTAGGACTTCTGGAAGACAACAGCCTAGAGCTCGGCATGAAAATCAACTTTGGCCCTTTCGAGTCCCCAGAGAAGCGGATCCCCTTGCTCAACATCGTGGACCAGTTCACGCTGGTTCTCGGAGTTATGCCTTGGGTGTCACCCACTAGCAAGGTGAAGGCCATAGCCTCTTTGAGAGACTTCGGAAAGCAGGACATCAGCTCTGTCCTGCCAGAGGTGCCTCCGCCAGAGGTCAACCCGGGCTCCATCATCGGCCTCTACAATCCTCACTGGAGCCGCTGGGTCCGAATGGGTGGTGACCATGGTGATGTCGTGGATCGTTCTGGCACGACGGCCTTTGAACCCCTTCCCTCGGACTGGACTTGGGAGAAGTTCGCGGTGGTGGACGCCGGGGATGGCTTGATTGCGCTCCACAGCCCGAAGTGGAACCGCTTCTTGTCCCTGAGCCCCGAGGGTGAGGTCTATGGAAGCCCCAACAGAGCTGCCAGCCACTTGCACCCGGGATGGTCTTGGCAGAAGTTCAAGGCGGTCTACGCGGGCGACGGCATGATCGCCCTCCATTGCCCGGTCCACAACCGCTTTGTGAGCATGACCGATCACACCGTGCAGGCCACGAGCCACAGAAGTGAGGACAGCGTGCAAGAGAGCTGGACATGGGAGCGCTTCCAGGTGCTGCGAACCCGGTGGCTCCTGCAGCCGGGGACCGTGGTGGGCTTCCATAACGCAATCCACAACCGATACATCTCCATGAGCAGCGATGGGACTATGTACCCGAGCCCCGTAAGGGACTACAACGAGGAGCTCCCGGAAGGCTGGACCTTTCAGAGGTTCACGGTGGTGGATGCCGGGAACGGCGAGTATGGGTTTCACAACGCGAAGCACAACAAGCTCCTGGGCTCTTGTTATAAGGAGTTAGTATAGCAAAGGAGACCCTATAATCTACTATAGATCCCAATTCTATACTTAAATTACTATAGATCCCAATTTTATGGTAACTTAAATCATTACAGATCCCAAGTTTATGGTAACTTAAATGACTATAGATCCCAATTTTATGGTAGCCTAAATAAATTAAGACTCCTTAACAAGAGCCCAGGTTCTGGAAGATGACCGACACCGCGACGATGATCGCCAGCATCACCAAGGCGGCTCACGACATGCCCGCGCCGGAGCACTGGCCCGGGATTTAGGGTTCAGGGCTTTAGGGTTTAGAACTCTAGGGTTTTAGGGGTTTTATAGGGTTTAGGGTTTTAGGGTTTAGAACTTTAGGGTTTTAGGGTTTTAGAGGGTTTATGTTCACTGGGTTCTTGTTAAGGGATTTAGCTTAAGGTCCCCTAATAAAGTTTACTACAGATCCCCTAAACCCTAAGCCCTAAACCCTATAAGTTCCTTAAACCCTAAACCCTATAAGTTCCTTAAACCCTAAACCCTAAACCCTAAACTCTATAAGTTCCTTAAACCATGTAAGGAGCACTGGCCCTGGGAGCGCTTCGCAGCCGTGGACGTCGGAAACGGCGAGATCGGCTCCTGGGCTTCCTTTTGTAAAGGAACTTACGGTTTAAGGAACTTATAGGGTTTAGGGTTTAGGGTTTAGGGTTTAGGGTTTAAGGAACTTATAGGGTTTAGGGTTTAGGGTTCCTGGGCTTCTGTTTTAAGGAACTTATGAGGATCTTTAGTAAACTTTATTATGGCACCTTGAACTCAATCCCTTGACGAGAACCCAGGAAATATAAACCCTTTAAAACCCTAAAACCCTAAAGTTCTAAACCCTAAAACTCTACACCCTAAACCCCAAAACCCTAAAACCCTAAATCCCTAAACCCAGGTTTCTACAACCCCACCCACAACCCTAAAACCCTGGAGCCCTGAAGCCCTAAAACCCTAAGCCCAGGTTTCTACAACCCCCACCACAACCGCATGGTCTCGCTGTCTAACACGGAAGTCTACGCCTCGCCCCACCGGGCGCCCCAAGACTTCCCCTCCGACTGGACCTGGCAGAAGTTTAAGGTCTGTTTAGGGGGTTTTGGGGCTTTAGGGTTTAGGGTTTAGGAGTTTAGGGTTTTGGGGCTTTAGGGTTTAGGGTTTAGGAGTTTAGGGGTTTGGGGGTTTAGTGTTTAGGGGTTTAGGGGCTTTGGGGTGTAGGGGTTTAGGGGTTTAGGGTTTAGGGGTTTAGGGGTTTCGGGGTTTGGGGGTTTAGGGGTTTAGGGGTTTAGCGGTGTAGGGGTTGAGGGTTTAGGGTTTAGGGGTTTAGGGGTTTAGGGTTTAGGGTGTAGGGTTCAGGGTTTTGATACTACAGATGTATCAGGTCAAGCTCTACGCGGATGCCGGCTCCAATCCGAACGATCTGCCCTGGTCCTTCTCGAACTGAGGATCTTTGAGACTTCGAAGAGGGCTCATAGTGGCTCATAGGCCGATTGCGAGGAGGTACCTTCTACCAAAAAGCCTCCTTTCGAGCCATGATGTGCCGATGCGGCCGCTTCCGTCGTTCGGCGGAGCGGTTGCCTGTTTCAATGGCCTCTGCAAGAGCTGAGCCACGGTTTGCCAGAGTCGGCACAGTTCCTTAAGGGCGGTGCAGGGAAAAGCGCGGGAAATGCAGAGGGGTTCTAGGGTTTCGGTTTGATTGCAGCGTCTTGTCATTCTTCTTCGCTTGACAGGTGATGCCGAAGCCGTCGATCCACTGGATGAGCATCTGCAGGCGAAGGAGGGGCCGCTTGCAGCTGCATTGTCGACTAAGTTCGTTTTACATGGTGTAAGTGTTCCTGTAAGACCCCTGAGGCCGTGGAATGCATTGCTGTGGCAAGTCGTGGCTGCAGTGATGTGTATGTGCACGTGCGTTCAACCTTGTCTTGCCTGTCATGCTCTGCAGAGCAGAACCGGCCTGTTGTTGTCGGGTGCACTCCTAGAACAGGAAGGGCATGTTAGACTGTTGTAGCTTTGCCAGCACGCAGGCACTTTGTTTGAAAGGCGATGTCATTGCGTGGACGAAACGTTGAGGGTTCTGGGGCGGCCGATGCTAGAGGAGAGCAGGGTGGAGCCTTCCTTGCATGATGCTTGCATTCTTTTCAGCCCCCGGACACTCGTTCATGCTTGATTCTCTCCGTGTTTAGGCCAAGCTGCAGTTGCCAAAATTCGCAAGGCATGGAGCGATCCGAGTGAATGGTTTCGGCCAGGCGGTTCCAGGGTTTCGTGACGTCTTGTGCATGGCGGTCAAGAATCTTGAGACTTACCGATGACTTACCTGTGTACGGACCACGACACCAATGTGCATGCAATCTAATCTTGCTGCAGCGGCCAAATTGCCAGCTGATTTCTGGTTCGGGCAGACTGAGAACAGCTGGAGTTTTGGCATCTGTGAGAGCCGTCACAGTGATTGTTGGTGACTAAATGTGTAGTCCATGAACTACTACCAGGTGTCCTGCAGGCGAAGCCGTTTATGCATTGTTCAACCAGATGACAGCATGCCGAATCCACTGCCCCAAGTTGCGGACTCTTCGGAATCAACATCATCATCGGCATCGTCATCATCGGCATCCTCATCGTCATCGGCATCCTCGTCGTCATCGTCATCCTCATCGTCATATATCGTCATCCTCATCATCGTCATCATCATCAGTATCGTCATCAAGCGTCTCGGCCCAACTGGAAATAAAAGTGGACCGGACCTCCCAGCTTGCTCATGCAATGCCTCGTTCCTCGGATGCTGCCTTTTCTCCGAACAGGCAGGATCATGTGGATGGTGAGTTTGATTATGATGATATCTCACTGTATGACACTGATTCCACGCCGGAGTCAAGCAACGCTGCATCGGACGAGGAGCTCGCACGGCTGCCACCATACACCCCTCAGCTGCTGGAATTTCGAAACTTCGTCCTCCTTGAGGTGGTATGGTACTACTTCGCGGAAGCACAGATCCTCGCCTGCCCTGATCGACGACGCTCGTCGGCCAGAATTGCCGGCATGCGACAAAGGCAGCACCTCATGGCAGCGCAGGAGGCGCTTCAGCAGATACTGCCCCTTCTGGAAGGAGCCAAGAGCCGCGGCCCTACGGCGGGACTTTGAGTACTTGGTTAACGCGCTCGGAGCGCAAATCCCTCGCAACGACCTTCTCTGGATATCTGCCTCAGGCTCACAATATGCTCCGCGACAGAGGCTTGTGCTACAGGTACTTCAAAGACTCCTCAGCAGCCTCTTTCAGGTCAGGCTGGACAACATCCCGCTGGCCAAAACCATGGCCACCATCATCACGGACAGGGCATTGGCCCTGCGCCACATCCCTTCTGTACAGGCGCTATGGCCCCCACTGTCCACTGACATGCGGCAGAGAGTTCAGCAATGGCATCGGAACTATGAGACGCAGGAGCGTCTCTCATTCGCTCGTCAACACCACGATGTCATGGACCAGCAACAGGAGCAGCCGGAGGAAGAGGACGGCCCGGAGCAACCGAGCTCTTCCTCAGCGAGACCACCGACGGATGCGGAGATGGAGGATCAGACTGCCCGTGCGTCCTCGGCGCACTCAGCGGCGGCGTCGTCTACCTTTCGCTTCGACACGGCGCCTACTGAGAGGAGGCGCTGAAGCGGCTGCATATGTACAGTTTATCATGAGCAAGGCCGGGGAGACACTCCGGGGTCAACTTGAGATGATCTTTAAAGGCCGCTCCGGTCCCAAGTCCGGAGGCGGGGAGAAAAGCAACAGAAGCAAGGACATAGGTCCTCTCCCCGTAGACGTGAGGGTTGGAGGTGCGGAAGGTCGTAGCCGTCCTGAAGCCCAACAACAGCCCATGAATCTCAACATGAGAGCAAAGCTTATCGACCAAACCATCAGTAGGAGCCATTCCGAAGGAAAGGCCCCCACAACCTTCTCACCTCAGTTTTCGACAGCACTTGTACTAGGACGTTTGCCCACACCCATCAAAGCCCTAATCATCCTGCTGAGTAGACTGTCAGCATCACAAGCCTGCACGCATGCCCCCACGTCGACTGCGGGCACTGCTGCACTGCCGCCACACGGTCAGATATCCCGCATAGCCAAGAGATCATACCATCGAGCTCAAAGGCGTATGCAACGAGACGGCCAGGCCTGGTACCGAGGTAGGCTGCTACGTGGGCCCATTGCCAATCCCGAAGCTGCAGCTCCTGTGCCCCTCAGAGAACATCGCCCCACAGTCCATACTAGACAGCCTAAGCCAGTAGACGCCGACAGAGTGCACTTTATCACTTGGAATTGCGGGGGTCTGAGTTCGCTCCTCTTTGAGGAAATTCTGCAGTGGCTAGCTCCTACAGCTCGGCAGCGGCCATGCATCATAGCGTTGCAGGAAACGCATTGGAGCATTTCCAGTGAATTTCAGAAAGATGGCTGGGCCTGCATCTCCAGTAGCGACGGTACCTCTATAAGCGGGATTATGGTTCTCATCAAATTTCCGGGCAAGACACTGCCAGCGATTCAGCATCATACTCTGAGTCCGGGGCGTGCCCTACATGTCAGAATCAACAGTGAGCCCCCCATAGACATACTATCGGTCTACCAACATGCTTGGAATCCGAACAAAGCCTGTTACAAAGGCAAGGAGCACTCTTCGATTGACCTGCTACTTCAGGAGCGCGCAGGTATCTGGGCAAAGCTCCGCAGCTGGATCCATATGGTCCCAAAAAGGAGTCAGCTAGTCTTAGCAGGAGACTTTAACGCCACGCTCTGCCCCGCTCACCCCAATGTAGGCGAGGGAGTTTTCAGACCCCAAAGGTCCCCCGCACAAGGATCAGTCTGAATTTCAGGATCTGATAGTAAGCACAGGGCTGGTAGCTGCAAATACTTGGAGACGAAAGGGACCAGCTGCGGCCACGTACTGCAATCACGCCAATCAGCCAGCGCAGATTGATTTCATCTGTCTGCGAGTGCCTTGCAATGTCCCCAGCCTGAGGACGCAGGTGGCACGTCATGCGCCGGTCATCGCAGTAGGAGGTATGAGGCACTTTCCCGTACAGGTTGACTTACCCGCCAATGCGGTCCCCCGCGAGCCACCGCGCCCACAGGGACTGCGGCTAGCCACAGTGCTTCGCATTCTGGCAGATTCTAGTGCTCGACAGCAGTTCAGCCGGAGCGCAGCCTCAGCCCTGTGTCAAGACGAGGCCAAGGCCACGGACATAGATGACATCCTTCTAAAGGCTCTAGGTGAGGTCCGCAAACAGGTGCCCAAATCCAGCACACAAAAGCCGCATCAGGAGCAAAGCATCAACCTGAAAACTGGCAACAGAAACGAGCACTCACAACTTACAGCTTGACCTACACAGCCAGTCCAGAGACCACCTCTTCACACCCCCGACGAAAGGGAGCACTCGGACCGAGAGCTTGCCCGGGCAGTGTTTAATGCATGGCATGCGAGCCAAGAATACGCCCGCACCTCCCGCCTCCTCAAGCAAAGATTGCGGCAATCCAGAAAGGAAAAAGTGGAGTCCTTAATCAAGGAGGCAGAAGAGGCGGATGCCAAGGGTCTCACCCAGCTGTACAAGCTCATGAGAGCCTGGGGACCGAAAGCTCCCAAGCGTTCGGTGCATCTCAAGAGCAAGGATATTGGCCTGCTTTCACCGAAACAAGCCATTGACAACATCACAGAATACTTCAGCGCGCTCTTTCAGGCCCCCAGTCAAGCTTGTTTCAAGCAATGGTCTCTCGAGAAGCCGCTCTCGTTTTCTAGGGAAGAGATTTCCACCGCACTTCAGTCGATGTCGGCGTGCAAAGCACTGCCACAAGGCCAGGCACCAGCCCTGCTATGGAAGCTTAATCATGAGCCCATTGTAGACCTACTGTACACGGACTTTGCACAGCGATTCGGCCCGGGACCCCCACCCAAATGCCGGAGTCCTGGCACCGAGCTTTCGTAGTACTCCTACCTGAGCCCAACAAGCCCCCAACTGCAGTGGAACACCTCAGGCCTATATAAGCTTACTGCCTGCCATTTCCAAACTCCTTGCCCGCCTGGCGGCGCAGCGTCTGCGTCCTCTTCTGTCTGCAGCGTTCGAGCGACATCCTCAATTCGCCTACATACTAGGGAGGAACACCAGTGACGCAATCGATCGGGTGTCAGCACACAGCAAGCTCGTGCGCGAGCGGACAGAAGCCTCCCGTCCGGACATTTTCGCCAGCAGAAGAGGCCTATCGGGGAGAAAATTAACGGGTGGCGTTCAATTGTCATTAGACTTGAGTAAGGCTTTTGATAGAATACCCCGTCGATATTTAGAACTGGCGCTGCACCGAATATACGCTCCGGCAGATTTGGTACAACTCATACTTTACATCCACCAGGAGACAAGACTAGTATTCGGCGTGCAAGGCCTTTTCTCGGAGGTGCAAACAGGCACCGGCATCCGACA